TTGTGTGTGTGTGTGTGTGTGTGTGTTTTTTTTGTTTTTTTTGTTTTTTTTTGAGACAGGGTCTCACTCTGTTGCCCAGGCTAGAGTGCAGAGGCACTATCATGGCTCACTGCAACCTTGACTTCTCAGGCTCAAGTGACCCTCCCACCTCAACCTCCTGAGTAGCTGGGACTACAGCTGTACACCACTGTGCCCAGATAATTTTTGTATCTTTTGTAGAGACAAGAGTTTCACCATCTTGCTCAGGCTGGTCTCGAACCCACCCTGGCCTCCCAAAGTGCTAGGATTTCAGGTGTGAGCCACCACACCTGGCCAATACCTACTTTTCTTTCATGTCTCGAAGTAGGTATCATTTCCTTATGGAAAGCTTTCCTAACCACTCAAAACTCGGTTAAGTGCCTCTCCCATGTGCCCCTGCAGCACAATGAATTTCCCCTATCACAGTCTGGTTATCCCTCAGTATTTGTTGGGGATTGGTTCCAGGACTTCCCTATAGATACCAAAATCCATGGACGCTCAAGTCCACCTTATAAAATGGTGCAGTATTTGCATATAACCTATGAACATCCTCCCATTTACTTTAAGTCATTTCTAGATAACTTATAATACCTAATTCAATGCAAATGCTAAGTAAACCATCGTTATACTGTATTGTTTAGGAAACAATGACAAGAAAAAATGTCTGTATATGTTCAGTACAGATGCAGCCATCCATTTTCTCCCCAAATCCTTTGATCCTTGTTTGGCTGAATCCACAGATGCAGAACATATGAATACAGGGCTAAATGTTACAATACAATATTTGTTTGCTTAATTTTCTGCTTTAGTATCAGCTCTGAGTCATTCTCATTTTCTGTCATATAAAAAGTACTCAATAAATACTTCTTGAGTAAATTAATGAATAAAGGACTTCCTTTAATGCTTCCTTTTATTGTACCTCAAGCAAAATCTTTTTAAATGCATTGTTAGTCTAGCAAAAAATTATATGAAAAGGGCAAAAATGAAGTGAAAGTAGAACCTCTACAGAATAAATGAACACATCAAAGCCAGCTCTCCCTTGATTTCTATTGAAGCTTGGATTCTTTGAGCTTATTTCTACCTCCAGACCTACAAGGGGCATGGAAGACCAGAGAATAAGACTAGGTTCTGCCCAAGATAAGGAGTCTAACAGGGGACACTGAAGTAAAAAGCTACAGCCATGGAATCACTATGAACTAGAAATAAATAATACACATAGAAGGGAACAGCAAGGAAACTGGCCTGTCTGTATTTTGGTGTTAAATAGTGGGGAAGAAAAAACTACTCCTCTGAAAATCCTACAGACAAGTGAACCCTAACACAAGTATACATCTGAATTCACAATGTAAATCTAAAGCAGAGAACTGAATTTAATGTGGTCCCAATAATGCTACTGGAGAGTAGCATACAAAAGCCAAAACAAATCCCTCCAGGCAGAAAGTCATTTTCAGTCCAGATAGACATCAAATACTTTCAAGATGCAAAAACATCATGGAAAATAAATAACTCACAGTTATAAAACACAGTTAAGACATCATGAATAAGAGCAAAAAAGGTAAGAAAAGGATCATATAGTGAGAAACAAAAAGATTTCATATAGCAGAATTTTCTGTTAAAAATATAAAATAGTTATGTTTAATGTATCTAATAAAAGGTAAGTCTGAAAATACAACCAAAGAATTAAAGACCAACCAAGCAAGGTAAAAAACAATTTCTAAAAATGAAAAATATGGCCGGTATGGTGGCTCAGCCCTGTAATGCCAGCACTTTGGAAGGCTGAGGCAGGAGGATTGCTTGAGCCCAGGAGTTCAAGACCAGCCTGGGCAACACAGAGAGACCTTGTCTCTACAAAATACAAAAATAAATTAGCTGGGCATGGCAGCACACACCTGTTTTCTCAGCTACTTGGGGGGCTGAGGTAGGTCGAGCCCATGAGGTCGAGGCTGCAGCGAACCATGATCACACCACTGTACCCCAGCCTGCGCAACAGAATGAGACTTGGTCTCAAAAAAAAATATATATATATAGATACACACACACACACACACACACACACATATACACACACACATCTCTATATACACACACACATATATACACACACACACATATATATATATAATCATTTAAGTTAAAAACCCAACATACATAATCAACCAGCATATTTGAGGCAACTAAAGAGAAAATTAGTGATTCTGGTAGACCTGAGGAAATAATACAGAATGCAGGCCAGAAAGGTAAAGAAATAGAAAATATGATAGAGAGGTTTAGAGACATGAAAAACATAAGATGATGTAACATATTTCTAACTGAAGTTCCAGAAGAAAAAACAGAAATGGGAAGATGTAATATCTGAAGGGATAATAAGAGAACTGTAGAATTCCAGAATTGTAGAAAAATATCCATCTTCAGATCTAGGAACCCCAACAAATCTCAAGTAGAATAAATACAAAGAGATACATAGCTAGTTACTTCATAATAAAACTGCCATTTATACCAAAGAAAAAGACTTTCATATTAAAGTTAATCAAATTTTAAAATGCTATCAAATAGAAAAGATATACAAACAAAGGCATAATATCTGACTTCTCAACAATTAGTGGAAGCCAAAAGACAATTGAGTAACATCTTAAATGTGCCTTTCCCACAAAAGATCCTCACCTAAACGAACTTCTATAGGATGCACATCAGACAGAAAGATTAGATATAAGAAAAGGTGGCTAACAAAGACTCTGAATAAATCTAAGCAAACAACAATGTATATTTCATAGCAGAGAAAGAGCAGAATAGACAGAAAATATTAGCCAACAAGTAGTACATAAGTTGGAGGAGGCGATCAGAATTAAAGCACTCTAAAGCTTTTGTGTTTTTCAGAAGGAAAGTAAATTTATCAATTAACTTTAGTCTTTGAAGTACAGACACAGAGTCTGAAACTTTCAAATGAAAGAAAGAGAATATTGGAGAGGGGATGATGGAATGAGGGGAAAAAAAAGAGGCAAAAAAGGAATTTAAGAAAACAGGACAAAGAAACATGACAAAATGGTAGAAATAAGTTTAACTATATCAGTGATTACAGTAAATGTAAACTGCCTAAACTTCCATTTAAAAGACATAGATGATTGTATTAAGACAAAAAGTTAAAATCAAAGGATGGGAAAATAGTAACCAAAAGAAATGTAGTGGAGGGGTCACTAAAGAAAAAGAGTAGTTGCACAATGATAGAGGGTATAATTCATCAGTGTTACGTAATAATTCTAAATACGTATGCATCTAATGACAGCCTCAAATTATAAAAAGTAAAAATTTACAGAACCATAAAAAAAAGACCATCAAATCTACCATCAGACTCTGACACTCCAACATCTCCCTTGGTAATAATGAATTTTTAAAACAGGACAAAGATTTGTATTGAACACTAAAAATAAGAATTGATGTGTGTAAACACCACACCAGCAATTAAAAATACACATTATTTTCAAGACAGGAAAATCATTTAGAAAAACTGACTAACTGCTAAACCAAAATGTTACACTCAACAAATTTCAAGACTGAATCAATACAGACCACAGTTTGTGAAAAAATTTAATACAAAAAGATAAACAAAAATTCCATCTATCTATAAATTTAAAATGATACTTTAACAACTAAAAAGTCATAGAAGAATCACAACAGAAATAAGAATACATTTAGAATTATAAATAATAAAAATATTATATATCAAAACTGTGGAATGTGTTATGGCTTAAATGTCTACTTCAGAAAGGAAGGAAGGGTTAATATTAATAAACTAAGTATCTAACTGACAATTAATAACAGAATGACAGAACCAAAAAACAAGAGATGCTAGTGAGGCTGCAGAGAAAAGTCAATACTTAATACACTGCTGGTGGGAATGTAAGTTAGTTCAGCCACTGTGGAAAGCAGATTGGAGATTTCTCAAAGAACTCCAGCAATCCCATTAGAGAGTGTATATCAAAAAGAAATAAATTATTCTACCAAAAAGACACATGCACTCGGTGTTCACTGCAGCAATATTCACAATTGCAAAGACTTGGAATCAACCTAGTTGTCCATCAATGGTGTACTGGATAAAGAATATATGGTACATATACACCATGGAATACCATGCAGCCACAAAAAGGAATGAATTATGTCCCTTGCAGCAACATGCATGTAGCTAGAGGCCATTATCCTAAGCAAACTGACACAGAAAACAAAAAACCAAGTACTACATATTCTCACTTATAACTAGGAACTAAACACCAGGTACGCATGAACATAAAGACAGCAAAAATAGGTACTGGAGACTACTAGATGAGGGAGAGAGAGAGAGGGCAGCAATGGTTGAAAAACTATTTGGTACTATGCTCACTATCTGGGTGATGAGATCAAGTGTACCCCACACCTCATCATCAGACAAAATACCCATGTAACAAGCCCTCACATGTACCCTCCTATATCTAAATAAAAGTTGAAGTTATAAAACAATAAAACAGAGAAAAAATAATGACAGAACAAACACAAAAAAAAAGACAGCAAGGAGGCTATAAATAAAAAGCAAAAATTGATGAAATAGGATACAAACATATAATGGTTCAAAGTAAAAAAAATTACTTGGAAAAATAATAAAAGACAAACCTCTGGGAAGACTAGTCAAGAAAATAAAACAAATATTAGGAATGAAAAAAGGACACAACTACATATGCTATTGAGAGTAAACAGGGAATATCATTATACACCTTATATCAATAAATTAAAAATTTAGTTTAAGTAGATAAGTAGATAGTTTTTCATAGAAAACTGAGTCAAAAAGAAACAGAAAAAATAAAGAAATTAAACAAGTGGTTTAATAGTTCCCACAAAGAAAACATCAGTCCAGACAGTATTATAAGTAAGTTCTATCAAACATTCAGGGAACAAATAATTTCACACAAACTATTCCAGTATACAGAAAAAAATACATTAAAAAAATTTATACATACCTGTTTCAAATGACGGTATTTTTTCCACTCTGAGAGTTTGTGATCCCTGTCCTTCTTTCTGAACATTTGTGGAGTAAAACTTTACTTGACTCAGTGTACCAATATATGGATGAGTACAGGGAACCATATTTGAAAAGCTTCCAAATGTCACTAAATTCTGCCACTCTAAAAGAAAAAACATATATACTTTGATTTCAAACCAACTCCCAGCTGCACAATTAATTGCCAAGTCACCCTCTCCAGAGGAGGTGTTTCACTGCTTCTATGTACACAGGAAATACATTTTGTAAAGAAAAATTAGTGACAACATTCTAATTTTCTCTAACCTGTAAACTTATTTGGAAATTCTTAAAAATATTAAAAAATCAAATAAAATATTCATGCTAGTCAGTTATTTTGAAAGGTATATAGTACATAATAGAAACCCTTTATTTTGCATGCTGGTTGCAAGCTAAAAAAATTTTGGCATAATTACTTTTCAGAATAAAGGACTCTGGGAGGGAAGGTCAGGAAGACTTCCTACACAAAATTATCCTGTGTCCTTCTTCCACTAGCTAAAGATTCATTCCTCTTTCATTTCACAATCAATAAGTGAATTATATTAATCATTCATTCATACTGTCACCGATTTTTTAATCAGATAATTAGATCAACATTTGGTGAGATGCCTCAGTATATGGGGAATTTTAATTGAGTGAAGAATAGAAGACTAATTACAAAGCACTTCAGCTGCTTCCTCTGGGTTTACTGTGAGCTTTGAAGGGCTCAAATACAGAAGGAAAATATATTCCACAATTTACCCAAGTACAAGAAAACCAAATTTGTCTCTATTTTCCTGTGACCCTCCTTCTCTTTTATTTTTTACTATGAGTACTGAGAATTCCTCTTTTTGAAAGAACCCAAAAACCCTACCTAGATAATATTCATATATTTTGTAAAGTTTTAGGTGAAATCAAATTACATCATTACAGATAGTCAAGTTTTTCCAAGGATGGAGGGTTGAGCGTTTAAGAGTTGAAACTTTTTTAACTGCTTAATAATGATCTTCCAAAAATGTTAATTCATGTATTGTGTGTGCAGATATATGCATTCTGAAAGAAAAGTCATTTCTTAATGGCGCAGAGAATTCATCAGGAACATAAATTATTAATGTTGAAGATAATATGAAGAGCACAAAGGGCATAAGGGAATATAAGTATTCACTCAAGTTTCAGGCCTAGAACTTACTTCCTTGAAAAAGTTTCTGATGTCAACTGATTCTTTTACTTATTTGGGAAACTGTTGAAGGCCTAGAATGTTTTTGGTCATTTGTGTCTATTTTTTAAAGGGTCAGTAAAGCAAATATAACAGAAGATTCCTACACATTAAAATATGCTGCCTACTAGCAAAAATAATTAGTAAATATGGGCTAATGCAGATTTTTATAGGAAACACACTCCAGAAAAGCATCTTCTTCATCCTGGCCACTGGTGTTCCGACTCTTCAGCCCTATTCAAAATATCTTCTGTAATTATTACCTGACAAAGACAATATGCTACTTTTTTTTTCCACACACTGATGAAATACTTTCATAGAATTTGTGCTAAGATGTTTAAAGAGGGATTACTCCACAGTTTAAAAGTCCTTCCTTAGAAGATGACCCATTTCCATGACTTGATGCTAGATTTTTTCAACATTCTCCTTTGTTTTTAAAACAGTACAGAAAATCTCAAACATATGCAAAGGCAGAAAAACCAGCACAATAAACTGTCACGTACTCATTGCCTACTTTCAACAATGATCAACTCATGGTCAATTTCATCTCATCGCTACCTGCACCAATATTAATTTGAAGCAAATCTCAGACATAATTTCATTCATAAATATTTCAGTATGTATTTACAAGAAACAAAAACTTTAACGCAACCATAACACCATTAGCAGAAATTTTTTAAAAATCCTTAGTATCATCAAATATTCTCAATTTCAAATTTCCAGTTGTTACAAATGTTATAATTTTTTTCCAGTTTCTACGTGAATAGATTCAGACAAAGTTTACATATTGGGACTAATTGAGATGTCTTTTAAGTCTCTTTTAAGCTACAGAATGTCTGCTTTTTTTTGTTTTGTTTTGTTCTGTTTAACTGCAATTTTTATGTTGAAAAAGCCAGGTTGTTTGTCCTGAATTTTTGTCCTGGTGATTTCCCAGGCTGATTTTGCTGACTGAATTCCTATGCTATTGTTTAGCACATTCTTCTATATGTTCTATAAATCAATGGCTGTAAAGGCTTTATCTAACTTCAGACTCTTTTTATTAGGTCAACAGTACTTTGTTAAGTGGTGATGAGTTTTTTTTTATCAGGAACCACACAGTAATTGGTTGATTTATTTGGGATGATAATGTCTACTGTTCTTCAATGCCTAGAATCATTTATTCATTAGGTGGTTACAAAACGATACTAATTTTATTACTCCTTCATTTACTACTCAGAATACTTCTACAAAGAGAAAATATCCGTCATTTATTGGTTATTCAGAAAAGTAGTTCATATAGGAAAGTCAGACTAAATGCTTCTTTCCCTTTGTTTACCAGTTCTCAAAATAATACGTTAATTACCTAAGGTCCTGTAATAGTGACACATTTTTAATTTGTGTGTATATCATGAAAACTTCATAAATTTAAACATTACTTGGCATTTTTCAATCTAGTTTAGTCATCATCCTGACTAATGCTCAAACTGTTCTATTTTGGGCCAGTAGAGGTCTCTTAAAATTGACTCCCAAGTGCTTTTGACACTATCCCCATAATCTTTTAAAGCTTTCTTGCTGGCTGTTTTGAAAAGTCCTTAATTTTTAACACCAGTAGAAATTCAGGTATCAGCAACTTTAAAAGTACACATTTGGCATTAATACGAGACAGAAAATGGCACATACATTTACCACCTTTAACACTGTATATTATAACAACTGTACTGGAGCACATTTAACTCAATAAAACAAATATAATACCTAACACATAGCAATAGAAACACAACCACTGGTTAAAGAATTACTAAATTCCGCAGGGTGCAGTGGCTCACGCCTGTAATCCCAGCACTTTAGGAGGCCAAGGTGGGTGGATCACAAGGTCAGGAGTTTCAGATCAGCCTGGCCAACATAGTGAAACCCCGTCTTTACTAAAAATACAAAAATTAGCCAGATGTGGTGGTGGGCACCTATAATCCTAGCTATGCAGAAGGCTGAGGCAGGAGAATTGCTTGAACCCGGGAGGCGGAGGTTGCAGTGAGCCAAGATCGTGCCATTCCATTCCAGCCCAGGCGACAGTATAAGACTCCATCTCAAAACAAAACAAAAAAAAAACAACAAAAAAAGAATTATTGAAATCATTAATTCTAGTAAGCAGAGAGACAGAGTGAAAAATATTACCCACCATTAATACTCTTTTTTCAAGGTAACTTCTAAACAACCTACAGATGGAAGTCTTTACTCTGGCACTTACTCTTCTACTGGCCTGGACAAGAACTGTGTATATAAGGGCTATGTCTTCAAGACTGCAGAGCTACTGGTATCCTATCATCAGTCTATTCAGAACAGCCACACTTCTGTGTTTATTTTACTCTCATGGCCTTTGTAGCTAATGACTTAATGGCCACTGCCAGTGATCACTACTTGTCCTCTCTCTCCAATCTAGTTTGTCACCTACCACTTACTCTGGCTTCTAGAGAAAATCTGACCATCATTTTTAGGCTACGAATAACAACAAAAAGACGCTCCTTTTCTCTCACACAAACTGACAACTCAGTCTACTCTATATGTTGCTTCCGCAACAACAACTAAAGATAAACAAAAAGATTTCTTGCAATGTGAGTTTATTTCCGCCTAACCTCAGAGACAAAGTCAAGCTTGCAGCCTGTCTTCTAGATTTCAGTCTCCTTAGTTAAGAGACTATTTCAGTAATTATTTTCCAAAATTTCTAAGGCAGTGATATATGAAAGCTAAATAGCTGTTAAAAGAGGTTACCAAGAGGTTATATAACCTTTTAAAGAAGTTATTAAGTATGAATTTAAAATACATAATATAGAACACAAAAATTATTCCTTATAGTATTATTCATCGCAGGAAAAAACAGAAACAACTCAAATGTTTCCTAATAGAACAATGATTAAGTTACCGCAGGTCCTTATACTTTTATTATGTATTCATTAAGAACTTTTAATAACAAGGAAAAACACTCATGCTCTAATGTTGCATGAAAAAAAGCAGGAGACTTGTACAGTATGATTTCAACTACTAAAAATGTGGTGAAATATCTGGATTATGCACAGTTTTTACTTTATACCTTATACTTTCCCTGTATTTAAAAAAATGCCCATAATAATAAAAAAAAAACCCCTAAGAATATATCAATTGCTAAATCATCTGAAACTTCATCAAGGTCTTATTAACATCATCATCACAATTTGTAATATAGTCTACCATTAACAGATTGACTATCTCTGGTTTACTTTAATCCTTTCAGCTAGCCAAAACTAAAGGAAAATCCTTTTTATCCTTAATCATGTAGCAAGCAAAAGTGTGACCTGGATGGAGCAGCTTAGTCTAGAAGATCACTGCTGATGTAACTTTTCTCCAGACCAGAGTAAGAAACAGAGAATCTCTTTTTTTTTTTTTGAGTTAGGAAACAATAGATGACGACAACTTCCTGGACTGCATCTTGACATACATCTCTACTGCCTTGCTTAATTCTATTTTTTTTTTCCATTTTTATTTATTTTTGAGATAGAGTCTCACTCCGTCATCCAGGCTGGAGTGTAGTGGCATGATCTCAACTCACTGCAACCTCTACCTCCCGGGTTCAAGTGATTCTCCCACCTCAGCCTCCCGAGTAGCTGGGATTACAGGCATGTGCCACCACGCCTGACTAATTTTTGTATTTTTAGCAGAGATGGGGTTTCACCATGTGGGCCAGACTCGTCTTGAACTCCTAACCTCAGGTGATCCACCCTCCTTGGCCTCCCAAAGTGCTGGGATTACAGGTGTGAGCCACCGCACCCAGCTGTGTTTTTCTGAGACAGGGTGTCACTCTGACATCCAGGCTGGGGCAGTGGTGCAATCATGGTTCACTGCAGCCTCAACCTCCCCAGCCTCAGGTGGTCTTCCCACCTCAGCCTCCTGAGTAACTGGGA